CTTGACGGCCTCGTAGGTCGCCCGGTCCTGCTCCGTCTGCTTCTTGTAGTCCTCGGGCAGCTTCTTGGCCTCCTCCTTTCTAAAGGCACGCTCCAAGTGATCGATACGCTTCCAGACGATGCGGAGCTTCTCCGAAACATCGTTCTTCTCACGCTTGAGCTGCTCCAGCTTGATGGCATGAATGGCACTGGAATCGAGGTTCTCCAAGTTGTCCATGTCGATGTCGATCGTCTTGTTGCCAATCTTAAGGTCGGCAATCTGCTTCTTCAGCTCCTCCTTGCGGACGCGGTCACGCTCGGCCTTCATGCGCTTCTCTTCACGCTCCTTCTGCTCGGCGGCGAGACGCTTGTCCTCGGCCTCCTGGAGCAGCTGCTCACGAAGACGCTTCTGGCGGGCATTCTCTCTCTCCTTACGAGCCTGAGCCTCAGAAGCCTCCTCCTTACGCTTGTGGATGACCTCCTTTCTTGCAAGAATGGAGTGGTGCTCCTGCTCAGCACCGGCACGGGCACGCTCCAGAGCGGCTTCCCTTGCGGCAACGAGGGACTGGTTGTATGTAGGGTCGATGTAGAAGCAGGTAGTGTGAAGAGACTTAACGAGGCGGGTAAGCTGAGAGCGGACAATCTCAGAGGGGGTGCTCTGGAGACGCTGGACAGAGCTGCCGTCGGCCTCAGCTGAGCCAGCGGAAGATCCAGCGTGAGCAGCCTTGGCGGAGGAGAAGACATCGTTGTCGAAGCTGAGGACGCCGGTGGCGTGGTCCATGCGAATGGCCAAGTCACCCTTCTTGTTACCGTTCATGATGAACTTCTCAATGGTGCCGCGAGTAACCTGGAAAGGCTCGGGGAACTGAGCAAGCTTCTCAACAAAGGCCAAGTCAACAGTCTCGTACACCTGGGAGAGCTGCTGGAAGAGTCTGGTGAGGATAACCTGCTGCAGAGGCAGGATGTACTTCTCCATCTCAGCATCGTCACCAATCTTGGTGAGAATGGGGGAGATCTTCTGGCAAATGGAGAGAGGGTGGAAGTCGACCTCGAGGATGTTGTACAGATCGCGGATCTCAGGGCGAGCGCGCTTCAGCATCTGCTTAGCGAGGGCATCGCGGAAAAGGCCAGCACGGGTAGGGGCCTGGCCCATGCCGAGCAGGTGCGTAAGGCGGGCGTTCTTGTTCTTGCGAGACTCATCGAAGTCGACCATGGCACCGCGGGAGCGGGTGGTGCTAATGACAGGAATGGCGAGAGCAGACAACAGCACGAAAGAGGCGGCCTTCTGAAGGTCGTTCTCGGTAGCGGGAGGGTTGTCAGCCTTCTTGCCTTGTCCGCTGGCAACGACAGCGGCGGACTGGCGGAGAAGGGTGTAGTATCTGGACCAGGCGGCGGCGTGGAAAAGGTAGTTCTCGCCGACAAGGAAGATACGGGTAAGCTTCTCGTAGTAGTTGGCCATCATGATGTTCTTGGGAGGGCGCTTGCTGAGGTTGAGGAGAGTGTGGATGTCCTCAACGGAGCGGAAGGCCTCCTGCCAGAGCTCCAGCTCGACGGCAACGTTGAGCTGCTGGAAACGGGTCTCCAGGTGACGCTGCAGGGTGTCGGGATCACTGAGGTTGATGGCGTGCATCTGCGCAGAGTACTTGGCGGCAGTCTGAACATGGTTACGGAGCAGCTCGCAGAGTCTGCGGAACTCGGTCTTGCGAGTGTACTTCAGGCAGAAGTCGAAGGCCTGCATGGCAGTGCTCTGGTAGAGGATCTCGAGACGGGCATTGTTGCGGAGGATGTCGAGAACGGTGCGGTATGCCTCCCAAAGGAACTTGAGCCACGGGGTGACGATGGCGCGGTCGGTACGGTCGCGGGACTGCTCGCCGGAGACGGTGGCGAGGAGGATGGACTCGGGTGTTTCGCTGGCCTCCAAGTCGTCGACGTTGGTGGTCGAGGTGTTGGCCTCGATGCTGGACTGAACCTCATCGGCCTTGGCCTGGGCAACGGTGACCTTCTCGGCGGCGAGCTCGATGAACTTCTTGAGAACCAGCTGCGCATATCGCTGTTAGCAACGGTTGCCCTAACCCATTTCTGCGGCGGCGAGATGGCTTACCTCGATGGTGCCGATGTTGGTGTTCTGGCTGATATTCTTGTACTGGTAAAGGGCATCCTTGGCCAGCTTTCCCTTCTTCTGTTCGACGGAGAGCTCCACCAACAGGAGCATCACCGGCTCCAGCGACGCGATGGGAACATTTCGGCTTCTCTTCGAGGTGATGTGCTCGTGGAGGAGGGTGAGGGCGGCCGGGACTTGGTTGACGCCGATGAGCTCGTGGGCACGCTTGAGGACGTTCTCCGGCTTCTGGTGAGGTGGAGGAGGCTATGGCATCTTGTCAGTACTTCATTTCGACAACAACAGCAAGCAAGATGACGCCCCGTGATAGCAAGGTCGGAGAGGGGTAGCGTCAAATCCATGTGGGAAATTTTTGGGCTGGCGGGCCCAGAGGTTGAGAAAGCGAACAGAGGAACTCACCATGATGGGCAACCTCCTCTGCGGGAAAATACTATTCTCGAGAGGGTCCTTGATTTGAGGAGTTGCAGCGCAAGCCTTTTCGTGCGAGCGGGATATTGACTTGGCTGTCGCTCGGTGCGTTGGCGTTGATGCTATACACAGCAAAGACGAATTTTTCAATTTCGTGTGTGGCCGCTATGCGAGTCCTGAGGGGCTCCGAACGTCCGTGCGTTGTGCGAAACGGAGATCACGTGGTATGGGATTATGTCAGCCGAGGCTGACTGATTTACCACTGAAGGTTTGCTGCACCTTCCCGTCCCTCAGTTCACTGCTGTCGTCCCGTCCCAAATTATTGGACAGGCAAGGACTGAGGTACCTCCGATGTCATTTGTTGTGCCATGGCTCAATTCCGTCACGGGAACAAAGTCGCCGATTACACTGTTGAGATGATGTCCAATTCGAGTGAACATTGCGCTTTCCGTTGCGCTAAGTCTCTTCGAAACCTTCCTTCCCGTCACTTCACTTGATAGGTCTCAACCGTGATTTTCAGACCTATCTGCCAGCCTTGTCGGTTTCTAGTCAAAAGCCTCCCCGAACTTTCTTTAATCCCGGATACGGACGGGGGCATGCTCCCGTTATGCTCCACCGAGACCGAGGTAGATGGCGACTTCACACACTTTTTTCGGCAGAGCGGGAAGATCGAGAATCACCGATCTTGAATCGTATCTCCTCACATTCAACTTGCAGGCACAGGGGAGATATGCATAGTTATACATTCGTGAACGGGTAGGGCAGGAGTCTGGATGACTTTCCTGGACAGGCTTGTAAGTTACGAGTACCTTCTGCGAATGTACAAGCGCATCGTCACTTCGGGTAAGCTGGCAAAGAATCCGCGTTGGACAAGACGAGAAAAGGACCGATATAAATCGGTACATCTCTTATGAATATTCCCGATATAGAGCATGGCGCCGTGGGCATCTCTCATGAGAGTGTTCTTTCAGCTAGCCCCTCGGCAGCTCTCCGTTCTTTGTCTGGCCGGAGGACCAAGGGTCGTCAGCCTGACTGAAAACGTCATGAGGGAGAGTTCCATGGCACGTCTCAATGTTAAAAGCAAAAATGTCGTTGACACCCTATCATACATACGACGGTCCTCGCGACAACTTCGTGACATCTATTGGCTTCGGCATCGAGGCGAGCCGGATAGAGAGTGCCGCACGATATATAGGAGACTTCTGTGCAAGAATCGGCAGTGCAGAGTCAAAGTCTGATCGAGATGCCGGGTCTTGGTATGGCAGTTGGGCACGGGAATCGCAAAAGAAAGGGGAGAAAAAACGAAGGTCAAGTGTAAGGTTCGCCACATCTGATGCCCAAGATGTGCAGCTCATTCATCGTCATCAACCTACACCACATGCCGCGACTTGGAGTACTCTGTACAGTCGTGGTGTCGCGTCTCGTGCTCGTCGTCATGACTGTATCCGTGTTCTATGGGCGCAATCGGGGTGCCGGCCAGCTAGGGGAAACCCAAATGTGGGAGATTGCCCGCTCCGGCCAATTTCCAACCAATCCCGCCAATGCTGGTCTACAACAGATGGGGTCCGTGCGCAGAGTCGCTTCTCTAAAATTTCCCTCTTTCTTGTGAGGCGACTGGAACCTCAGCGAACACCCCCGCCGGCGCCGGGTCCAGTCACCCACCCTTGCCGACCCGTCCGCTGTCCAATCCAAAAGCCATAATGATGACTAAGGAGGAGAAAGTGGATGTACCTTCAACCGCTTGGAACACACTGTCAGGTACCGCACTCTAAGGTACCGGGGGCAAACCTACTTGACCTGCAGCAGTGCAGCATGCAGCCTGCACAAATGCACAAACATGCACACAAGCACACATAGGTACTGTGCAGCAGACCCCAGGATGTCAACCGGTGATGGTCTGGCAGCAGCTGGCAAGTACTCTCGCTTCGGTTCGCTCCATAAAAATCCGCGCGCAGTACTCCGTACAGCAAAGATGCAATGCGGCTCGGTACCCTCCAGGGACGGGGCGGTCGTTGCTTCCATGGCGCACCTGGTGGCCCTAGCGCAAGAAGGTAACCTTGCGTCCATTGACCTTTGACCTTTCCTTTCACGTTAGGGGAACCTTTCCCAAGGGCTCCGCAATCCAATCCAATCCCAGCTTTCCCAGTCCCAGTCCAAATTCCCAGTCCCAGCCCGTCTCCCAGACACTAGGAGTACGTGACTTCCCTCCCGTCCTCTCTCTCACCTACTCCGTACTCAATTCCCAGTTCCCAACTGCACCTGCGGCTTGCCTGCACCTACCTACCTCTCCTTCCACTCACTCCCTCCTCCTTCCCCGTCGCCCGTCGCCCGTCCCGTCCTCTCCTTTGCTTTTCCAAATCCCAACCCATTATCCGAGCAACCAACCTACCCATCTCTTCCAATACTCGTAATCCTCCCCCCCAAATCCAATCACCCCCGACGTTCTTTCCTTTGTCGATTCGCTTCGATCGAAACCGGCCTTGATCACTCTCTCAATTCCCCCGCGGTTCTCGCTGCTGTGAGTTTTTTCGCCCCCCTACTGGCCATTTAAATCCTCCCCATCCCGCTTCCGATCCTGAGCTCGTACCACGGGGTGGTGGGAAAACGCGGCAACCACCGCCAAAGCGGAGTCAAAGGAGGGAAACTTTAATCAAACTGACACGATATGCTCTCTCATCAGGAACGTTCTTCTCACAACACCACCACCACCTCTCCTACCACCGCCGAACCATCTGCTGTAGCCACCACAGCCACTTCTCCCACCTCTCGCCAGCGGCAGGATCAGGTCCAACAGCCTCGTTCCGACGACAAACAATCACGACGACAACCCGCCGCCGCTGAACCCTCTGTCGCCGCCGCCGCCGCCTCATCCTCCGCGACACCTTCATCAAAGTCTCCAGCCCCCCGATCCGCGACAGCAATGCCTCAATACACCTCCCGTGATGTCGGCGACCCGTCGCAGATTAAGAAGAACAAGCAGTCGATGGCCGATCTCAAGCTGAGACGATTGACGGAACTCAACAACCGCCTGCGCGAGGATCTTGAAAGGGAACGGATTCCGGTCAGCAATGCTTCTAAGAGGTAGGTCTCGAATTATCAACAATCATCATCATCGATGCAAATCAATGCGGACAATCAGCCATTGATTCCATCGCGAACGGGCGAACCAGTTACTAATTCATTTCATTCTAGCATCATTGCCTACTGCAACAGCACGAGGGACTACATGGTTCCATCGGTTTGGGGCGCTGTCCCCCGCGGCGAAGACCCCTACGCACCACAACAAAGCGGCGGATGCTGCTTGGTGATGTAGAGCAACGTATATCATGGGTTAGCGATGTTGATATCGGAACAGTCGATATGCTCCGATCGGATTGTCATTTTTCTATTTTACGCGTGGAATACCAAGACCCCCGAGGGCCATCGGGAATGCAGCAACCTTCCGTAAACAGCGAACGATCACTCCTTCTTCTCGAGGAACCGGAAAAGAAAACAGGACACCTGCTGATTATTCTTTGGCGCGGTCGTGGAATTATCGGAATCCCAAAAAGGTCCTGGACCAGCTCGGAGTCGAAGAGGAAAAGCAAACAAAAGTTTCCTGGGTTAGGAAGGGTTTAGGGGGTTCTACAATGCCAGCCAAACGACAGATACCTTTGTCCCCTTTGACGGATCAAAACGAAAAGCCACGGACAGCGACACGGGTTAGTAATACTTGGGAGAGTGAGTGAGAAAGGCAGAAGCGAGCAAGCTCCGCCAGTGGAGGAGGTGGGTGAGAGGAAGCGAGGGGAGATGCTTGAGAGTTGAAGAGGCAACGGACCCCGCTACGATAATGCTTCTATGTTGTTCTTTTTCTGTTGTTATTGGGAGGTTGTCGTCGGGGAGGCAGGGCTTTTTGGCGGGCAGCTCTTCAGCATGTAATAATTCTCTTGATGTCCTGTACTCTTTTTCCTTCTCGGGTCTCCCCCTATCCACTATATCCCGCACCGAGTGTGTGAATAGCTTCAATCCATCAATTCCCTGGTCTCCCCGAAAAAACAAGATAACAATTTGAGCAATTACCACGGCTTACGGTCGCGTCGCACTTTGATATCAGGGGGTGCTTGGTGCCATGCAGTTGATCGATCACTGGGGTAGGTAAGGGGCGGATAGGCGGCGGCAATCATGGACAGCAATTCGATTAACGATGAATCAAACAGAAGTGGTGTGCATGTTACGGATACCTGAAGCCTGAAGGGGGGTTTCACAGGAGGGCAGATCACCAAAACCCTCCTCAAGCCTGCATCTCTCGCGCGCCCCCCGTGGAGCCACGAAATCACTCGCATCTGCGGTGGTCCCATATCAGGTCATTTCGGCCAACCAATGGCCGCATTGGCGGGACCCCGGGGAGGGCAGCCAATCCATTTTGGGGGAGGTTGAGAAAGAGCGTGACCTTGCCTTCAGGTACAGTTTACTACCTTACAGGCCTACGCAAAAGTAATAGGAACTCCCCGTGACCTGAACCAGATTTCCGCATCGCATCTCCGAAATGATGGCCAACCCGCTCGCGTATTGGTAAGCAATCGAGAGGGGGAGTGAGGGTGGTGGGTGACCCAGAGTCCTGGAAGCAGGGAAAGACGAGAGACATTGCAAACCAGTCCACATCAGGGCCATTTACCTTACGGATACCTCGAGAGACAGGCAGGCTTCTGGGGAAAAAAGCAAAGAGGGATTGAGAACGGGAATGGGGGACAAGCTTTTTCGTGTGGCATTTTTTTTACTCCCCCCTCCTCGCCTTGCGGTCTTTCTTGGGGGTACGGTTGGACGGGTGCCACTTCAGGTCACAGGTGAGAGAGCAGGAAATCTGAGACATATGCAGCGTCCCTTTTCTTTCTCTCTCGCTCTTGTCCTCACTTCCATTCTCTCACTGTGAAATTGTGAATAAAGCCAGATTTATGGATTCATGCCCCCCTCCCCCCCTGCGCCCTGGCCGAGCGAGACTGGGGGATGAACCGTCCGGCGCCGACTTTCGAAATCCTGGGATTGGATCATTGGATGCCGATGGGGGTGAGGTTACCGCACTCCGCCTGTTCGAGGCCGAAAAGAGCTGCAAGAGCACCAGCTTTCATTTCCCGAGGATTACATCGGGCCTGGCCCGCCTGTCAACTCATCTTTTGTCCCTTCGCTTCGAGCCTTCGGCTACCGGGGGGAGGGGGGAATTAAGAAAGAGTACAGTAGTGGTGGGACCTGTGGTTTTCTCTTTGGACCGTCGGTGAGCCGCCATTGCCAATTGGAGCTGTTGTATCCGTAGCCTGTACTGCGTACGGCGCTCGATAAAACGCTGGTTAGATGAGGTTCAACGCGCTGGTTTGCTTCATACGGTGTTTCACTGTGTCCAGATACTGAATGATGACTACTACTTCTACTGCTCTCCTTCCCCCTTTCTCCCTCTCGCCATCGCCGCTGCAACACCACAACTCTTTCGTTTCAATTCTGGTTCTGAGGTATCTTGCCTTCTGGTGTTCGTTGCCGGACGGGGCTCCGTACTCCAGCACACCCTGTGACTACGCCCCTATCCCGAGGTTGCTGCTGTACCCGAGGCGGGTGATAACCGTCTTTTCATCCCACCAAATCCCCGAGATCAAGGCAATGTGCCCACCGCCAGTGTCCTGCAGACGTTTGGGCTTTTGCAGGCGCTGGCTGTATCAACTATGCAGTAAGGTAAGATACCTCACCTCACGGTCCAAAAATTCCGGAAACCTCTTTCCACGGGTCCCACGGGTACACACACGTTTCCAAAAAGTCTCGCCGGCCCGGAGTTATGTGTGCGCACTTTATGCACACGTATCCGTACCTTTACCTTACCTTGCCTACTCTACCTCGGAGTCAACTCAGGACCGGCCTTTCCCAACGTCGTCAGTCGAGAAAAGGGCCCGGCGCGCAAACGCGTCCCAAAACAACAGCACTGTTTCCGCACGACTCACTCCCCGTCTGGTGCTCCTAATTTTGCAGCACAGGACAAGTCCGAAAAAAAGCCCTGCCGGCCCTGATCCCTGGTGCTGGCCCACCCGTACCTGAATTGCTGCAGGGCGTTCGAGCCACTGGCTGCCACCGACGTGCTGGGTTCTGGGGGGGGAATGTCCTGGGAGGGAAGTTCATATGCGGGCCCGTTATTCTCTTTTTTTTTTTTTTTTTTTTTTTGGCGTGTGCCTGACTTTTCTTTCGCGAAATGGGACGTGCCGCCAGATGCCCACGGCTGAGAGCAAGGCTTTTGCCGGCTGGCTGCTGCATCACCCTGCTTCCGAGTGCGAGTTCGGATCCGAACAGTTTCCTACCATAGGTAGGCCGTGCACATTTCCGCCGGGTCCTTTTTTGTTTCGTAAGCCAGCAAGTGTGGCTTTTTTCCCTTTCCCCTCCTCCTAGCCTCAATGGAACCAGCGCCGGCATGGCCACAGCTTCCTGCACGCTTACCTGATCATCAGAGGAAAGCTGGGATGGCACCAACCGCCCCTCCTCCTCCCCCTCTTCCCCAATCCAAAAAAGTACTGGGGGGCCGCCAATGACGCAGGAAGAACAAGAGAATAGAGACGCCATTTCCCACACCATCCCATCCTCTCCTCGTGCAGCCTACCTAATCACTACAACCCGGAGATCTCAAAGGTCTGCACAGTAGTCTACTCTCCTGTTCCCTGTTCTAGGTAACAGCAACGATCCCGAAATGGCCGAAACATCTACCGAACCACAGTCAGCGTCGACATCAACGCCGCTGCCCCGTGTCGCGATCCAGTTCTGCACTCAGTGTAAGTGGATGCTTCGCGCAGCATATGTAAGTACAAGCCAAAGGGCAGGAGGGCGGAACCTCACTGCCGGGTCTTTTGCCATCCATCTTTACTTCCTGCCTTTCCTAATTTGTAAACACCTACCTTTATCCGCCGCGAGGCAGGCTACACTTACACAGGTCCTACCTCTATACGAGAGGTGGCCGTTGATGACCTCATCCTCGGCAACATCCCTGACACCCTCAACCCTCGTCTTCCAACCCCTCCAACTCATGCTTGGCCTAGTGTTGCCCTTTCCACCGTGATTCAAGCCCATCATCCGTCCCTTCTACCCTACTCAAAAGCCAGGTATACACAACTCGGCACAAAAAAACACCTCTCTTACACCACAAACAGTTCGCCCAAGAGCTCCTATCGACATTCGGAACCTCCATCGGCGAGGTCGCCCTCCAACCCTCCACAGGCGGCACCTTCACCGTGACGCTGACCCACCAACCCGCCGGCGCGACAACGACCTCCTCAACCATCCTCTGGGACCGCAAGACCGAAGGAGGCTTCCCCGAGACCAAGGAGCTCAAGCGCCGTCTCCGCGACGTCATCCAGCCCGACAGAGACCTCGGCCACGTCGACCGTAAACACTCCAAGCCTGCGACGACGACGACGACGACGACAACGGATCAGACTTCGACGACGACGACAACAGCAATCAAACCCGAAACCTCCACCCAACAACCAACGACGCTAGCCTCCGACGCACTCGCCACCGCGCCGACAATGACGATGCCTTCCTCCGCAGCCGCCTCGGACGTGGTCTCTCAGCTCAAGAAGCACCCCGCCAACGCAGGCCACTCCCCGGCCGCCAGCGAAACGAAGCCCACCTCCGAGAGCAAAGAACAGAGTTCATCCTCCTCTCTAAGTGACGCAGCTCGGGACGCCATCGGCGCAGCCCGCGCGAACAAGGGACAGCAGGCCAAGGCCGAGATCTCGCCCGCAGGCCAGCTGCCTGGTCAGCAATATGACGATCCGCCGGCCAAGTTCAACAAGGAGAAGTGCGAGGACTGTGCTTGAGAAACCCGGGTCCCTATATATACACTGAACACCTGATCTGGTCTGGTAGGCCGATGTATTCAGCCCTGCCCTGCCATGCTCTACTCTGGTGTAGCCAGCCTTGCAAGGCCTGGCGCGGGGGACCGGTGCGCGGGGGCTAACCGTAGATAGCACCATGGTCACGGGATCCCAAACTCGCAAAGTTCGCCTCGACTGCTACCCCTAGGTATCTCAAAATGTCTCTCAATATCTGTTGCCCAGTGGCCGGGGGAGTTGGGGGCGGTAAGCAAGGGCTTTGGAATGTGAACCGGGATTACTAGTGATGCGGACCTGGGGATCGGCACGGACGGGAACGTCTACGCGGTATCTAGGTGGCACGCGTGGGTATGAAGCGTCTAAACTAAATGACACGAAACATGCAATGCATGATTTGAAGAGCTCTCTTCTCCGTCAGCGGGAGCACACAATCTTCAGTAAACACAATTAGTATACACAATGAGCACGTCACTTTCGCATCCAAATATCCGGTCAGGTTGATCAAATGTATAAAGGTTGGCTTTTCATTGCAATCACTAGCCGCAGCATCCTCCTTTGCGACAGCACTCGACGTGAACCTGACCACACCGGGTCAACCCCACGGGAATGCCTAGAGCGAATTGTTCACAGAGACCACCAACTCGGAGCCGGATTGTTAGACCTCATCATTCCAAGATCGTACACACAGTGATCTGTGCAGCGATCCCCTGAACGCATGTCTCAGTGACAGACCTCTGCCGACCATACGCCCCTTCTCCTCCAGCGTTACAAGAAAAGACGGAAAAAAAGAGACCAGAGTCAGTGGAGAATAGTACAAGCAAAAGAAGTAAAGCGACACTCCCCAAGATGATGATGAGCCCCCCTGTTGCCCGGCCGATGAGCGATGCCTCCTTTGAGAAACCAGAATACCAACCCCACGACAGACTTGCTTCTGTCTATGCCGAGTAAATTATAGTCTTACAAGTGCCACCGCGACATTGAGCTGAGACACGGCCACCTACGGCCGCGACGCAAGCTAGAGGACACAAGAGCGGATGTTCAAGTTCATGTGATCTCCGTGACCACGGTGGATATTGCCAATTGGCGCCTCAGCACAATGACTTTGGGACAAGCCTTTGTGGCAGTGGCGGATGGGGGGACAAGTATTCCCACGATGGAACAGTAAATTGAGGCTGCTCTTGGCGCGTTATTGGCGTGCAAATCACTCATTATTACACCCCTGGGTGAGTTCTTGTCCACCGAGGGGCTTCGCACAGAGGCACGTGAGACGTTGTGATAGCCATTGCAAATTCCAGTGTTTTTGTGTTTTTATCTTCTGCTACCAGACAGCCGTAATCGTGAACAGTTTGCGCGGGTTGTAGTCGGTGGGTGGGCTCGGGAAGAATCGGACAAGTCGAAGAGTTGACGGAGGGTGACCCAGAGGATCGAGAAGGCGGGAGGACGGTGTGAAGGGGTCGCGAGAGACCCGCGTCGGTGGACGTAAAAGTAGAGCGGTCGATATGGGCGGGAGGCATTTAACGACGGCCGAACCTAAAAAGATGTGCATGTTCGTATAAACTCTTAATTTCACTTGGAAGCGGACTTCCGGGGAGAGATGACTGGTCGGCTGTTGCCTCCGAGACCACCAGGGACGTACTTTTGTTTCTTCTCAGCAGGTTTCAGAATCTATAGGAGAGTCTCGTCAGTTTACTTGATCGGGACAGTAGAATTTCCATTGTCGTCTTCTCACCTGGAACGAGCAGAGCAAGCTCTCGTCCACACTCATCATGGCTCCGGCATTGTCGAATTCTCCGCAGTAGTTCGGTGCACTGAACAGGGTCACGAGCTGGCGCTTGGAGAAGAACTCGTAACCGTCTTCCACGACTTGGTGGGCACGACAGATCAGATCCATATCGTGCTTCTGAAGGAACCGGGACACAACGTCGGGACCGAAAGTGAAGGAGACACCTCTGTCGTTTTCGCTCCAGCCTGTGATGTCCTTGTCGGGATCAGACCACAACAGATCGCAGAGAAGACCGCAGTCGGGAATCTGTAGTTCGAAGAATTAGTCAACAAGTAATTCGAGACGAGGCCAGCACTTGGCTTCGTGAGCGGTGCAAACATACGTCAGTGGGTCGCATGACGCGGCGAATCTGCTCCATGGAGTTCAGATCAGGGCTGAGACCGCCGTGCATAGTGAAAATCTTCTCGTCGATGATAGCGGCGATAGGCAGGCAGTTGAAGCAGTCCGTAAATGTCTTCCAGAGCTTGATGTTGTAGCGGCGCTTGCACTCGTCGTAGAAACCGTAGATACGGTTGATGGAGGCGCACTCGTGGTTGCCGCGGAGGATGAAGAAGTTCTCGGGGTACTTGATCTTGTAGGCGAGCAACAAGCAGATGGTCTCGAGCGATTGCTTGCCACGATCGACGTAATCACCCAGGAAGAGGTAGTTGGCCTCGGGAGGGAAGCCGCCGTACTCGAAGAGACGCAGCAAGTCGTAATATTGTCCGTGGATATCACCGCAGATCTGGGTGAGGGGTTGGCGTCAGCAGGTCTGTGCAACTCGGGGAAGGCAAAGCATGAGGAAGTAAGTCGGCCTAGCCAGGCCACAAGATTAAGCGTACCTTGATGGGAGCCTCTAGCTCGAGAAGAATGGGCTGGGAGATGAAGATCTCACGAGCCTTGGTGCAGAGGTAGCGGATCTCGGCCTCGAGAAGCTGCACCTGCTTACCGGGACGGCTTCCACGAACCTCGAGGAGGCGGTCGATTATCGAGTCAAGGTCGACCTCATGTTGGTCCGCCATCTTTAATCCTCACCAGCCAGAAAGATGGCCCGCTGATACCGAGGGGATTGTTCGCGACTGCGGCAAGCAAGAGCAATGCAGGGGTGTGCTTTGCAGCGGCCAGAGACAAAGAATGCCCAGTTTACGGGAACGATGCACTTCTCGTGTCTGTTCAGAAAAGACGCGTGGTCAGTATGCCGCAAGATGGTGAAATGCTTGTTTGGCCGCCTTGTTTGGGAAGCGCGCGGGGAGGTTGAGGGCAACGTGGTTGTGAGTGGGCAGGAGAGGGGAAGCGCGAGCGGGACAGGGCGAAAGACTTACGGCGAAGTGATCTCAGCTCTTGTAGGCCTTTCTTTCCGAGGAAGAGAAAGCGGCGACAGAAATGCTCGACGTTATGGATTATTCGCAGACCAGAAAGTGTGGTAGCGTCTCGCGTCGTCGTTGAGAAAATTTTCGTCGTCCCTGTGCGGGATCGAGTTCGCCTGTATGGGGTGGGATTCGCCGCTGGAGATAGGGCCGTCTGTTGATAGCTTCGCCTTTTTTTCAGCAGGTGCCGCTCTTGCCGTAAACAGCGATGCGGAGTTCGTCTGGTTGATTGATCGTCGTTGTTTTGAGTGTATTGAAGAGATGGAAATCTCTAGATCGCGTTGTCGTCTTGAATAGACGTATCGTCGCCGTTGGGTCAAGAGGTGGCCTCGTGGGGGAAAAAAAGAGGCTTTGGGGGGAGGGAGAGGTGAGGGTGGGTTTGAGGGGAGGATTTTCGTGTTTTGTGTTGGGCGGCGGCGGGCTGCTCGGTCGGAAAGGCAGGAGTCGGCAGGAGGAGCGCAGAAAATGGGAGAGGAAAAGAGAGAGAGGTGTGGAGGGATTGGTCTGCTCTGCCTGCGTCTGGGTGAGAAAAGCGTGAGGGGGGTCGCTCGTACTACAGGGGGGATGGCTAAAGAGGGATAGTGCTATGGGCACTAAGTGATCGCTGATGGGTGTGGGTGGTGTAGATATTATGGGCTCTCGAAGCGTTAAAGGCAGGCAGGACGGGCAAGAAAGAGATGCCAAACCCAGAGGCGACAGACAAAATTAAATTAGGTTGCCTTTGAGGTGAATTTGCACTTTGTACGAATATCAAGGATGCAAGACGGAAAACAACGTGAGACCGGGTATTATGTTATGCCTGCTTATGGTCCTTTTTTTTTTTCTTTTTTCTCTTCTTCTGTTCGCGTTTCCACTGCTTCACTATGTCGCTTGAGAACGGACAAGCGGCCTCACAATATGAGAATGAAAAGCGAAGCCGAGGATCGTGATCAGGAATGAGGCAAGGTGGAGGACGAAGTGAGAAAAAAATTAAAGAGAGGGAGATCTGTACGGGATAAAATTGGGGTCGTAGTACTGGTCTCGACTTTTTTTTTTTCCTCAGTCCCCGTCTAATCCGTATCTACGTTTCTTTTTTTTCCCCTGCCCTCGCGCCTGCCAACTAGGTAGATGCCGTCCCCGACTAAGGTAGGTAGTCGCATCGCTCCACGTCCTCCCGCCTGCTAAGGAAGGCGTGCCCTCCCTCCACAGGTAAGGTAAGCACAACAGCGAGAAAGTGAAGGTGTGGTGTTTTGAAGCGTGTCGCTGGTTGGGTTGGTACATTTCGGTGCATCACCGCGTCTTTGCATGAGCAAGCGCCTCCCATTGTCCGTTTCTCAGCACGCCAGTCGCCCGCCCGTCGACCAGTCAGGGAGCTTCAGGTTGGGCAGGAGTGGCAGGCACGTTTTTCTCGGCGACGGGAGGAATGGGAAAGCGCGACCCGGGCATGCGTAAGGTACTGGCTGGTAGGGTAGGTGCGGCAGGGGGTGCCTGCCCTTGGATTTTGTTCGTGCCTTCCCTTGCTTGCCTCTCACCTTACCCGTCTTGCCGGCCACGGCAACTACCGCAACACACCTTCGTAGTACCTGCCTCACCTTGGATCAGACAAATCTACATCTGTACGGCCTACATAGTAAATAAGTTGGTTGGTTTTGACATGTAACATGAGGCATGTGCATTTTCTATCTACTGGACTTAGGTATGTAGCTCAAGACCATCTCAGGCCAGGACTTTTTTTCCTTTAGTAAGGTATTGAAGCCAGAGGGTGCTACTGGAGATGTGCCATAAGGATTCCTACTCTATCCAAGGAAGCATGATGGCGAATCTGCAATGGCATTGTCCCTGAAGTGCCAGTCTGGAGCATTGTCCACCCGTGGAACACTGGGAACAAATCCACGACCCAGCGGCAAGGGTTAGCCACAGGGGCCTCATCGAGCCTGAAAGCTTGCTTGAGGTGAGGCTCCTTAGTTGGGAGCGGTAACACTCCATGAGCGCGGAAGCCTGTGGGCCGTCTCCGTATGCCGTGGGAGTGGGCGTTGGGCTGGGGGCATTGGACGTGGTACTGGTGGATGAAGGTGTCACGCACCGGGGTCATGAAGAGATGAGAGAGAGACCCCACCCGCCGGACCGACTGGCTGTTAACCATGGTCCAAGTCATCGAATCGACGGGACCCGCCGCGGGAGCTGGAGCTGGAGCTACGGCTGTTCTAAACTTGTATCATGGCGGCGTCCCGTCGAATATCACATCCGGCTCAGCCTCCCCCTTGATAATCCCGAGCGTCTAGTGCCAAAGTCATCGCCCGTGCCCACATCTGGTTTGTTTACTTCCAGAAATGTTTCTCCAAATCCCCGAGTGAGAGTGCTTTCCCTCCCTTGCAACCAGATATCCGGCTTGCAAACTGACAGTGCGGCCCATGCGAGTCAAACATTTGGACGGAGATTATCTGCCCAACCTTACGTACCTAGGTAATAGGCAGTAGGTCATTGGCATTGCATTGTGATGACTTCCTTCCTATGCATGCAGTTTAGTAGTACATATGTTCTGATTCTATGCAACTCTACCTACTAAGGTAGGTACCATTGGCGAGCATCTCCGAATTACTTGCCTCGGGAAAGGACCCGGTGAGAAAGGCATGTATGCCATTCTGCCGCCTGAGGCCTTCCATACCTACGTCACTGGACAAAATAGTATGCCGGCCAATGCCCCAATATACTGAGGTAGGCACATTCCGTCGCCTCCCGCCCCATCGCTGCTATCTTTCATACTGTGCTTGTCTTTTCTATCATCTCTTCTTAGAATTTTTTCACTTGTACCATCATAGAATAGATAGAGGGCAAAGAGAAAAGAAATAGTAATCATAGTAGCAGGGATCAAGATAAGTCAAATGGAAGATCATTCTGTCACCCACTTGACAGTCTCTCATTCCTTCCATCTGTGGCTTGCGCGGGCGCTGAGTTTGTCTTCCTTCTTACCTTAAGCTTTGCCTTCATACATCTTGGCATTTCCTTTGTAAAATATTCCCCTTGCCCCCAAGCTTGTCAGAGACCTGACGCTCGTTGTCCACTGGCATCTTACAACACAGAAAGACGTCTGCCACGGCCGTTTCCGTCCGTCATGCATCCACAAGTCTAAGTTGCGAGACATCTCGGGCCAGAAAAGCAACAAACATAGCGATTATCGTTTGCCAAACAAACCACCAGTCTTCCGTTTCAACTCTACTTTATGTATAACACTTGGATTTCCACATGTTGCAGCCTCTGTGACGCTGAGCCGGCAGGCTTGAACGAGACCGACGGCGGACAGCGATGACCCCTTCTAGACGGACGATTTCCCAAACACCCAGCTTGTGCCTCCTCTCCAACAGCGCAACGGAAGCAATCCCATCCATGCCGCCCTCCCTCGGCATCTTCCTTCCTCGTCTCCGCCTACAAGCTGGTTTCTAAGTGTCACTCCTCAACCATAACAACATGATCATCAGGGTCCGACCCCGAATAGGCCCCTGAGTAACGCCATGTCAGACGGTCTACCGGGTGGCCACACAAGTCAAGGCGCTCGCCAATACCGCCATTCACCGCATTCATCTGAAGCCGCTCGTGCTCGACACAACCTACTTTATCACTAGTTATCGTGTGTACGTGTCGTGTGTTTCTTGTACCGGAACTTTATCAGTGCTGCTGAAGACGACGGCGAGTCGTACGCAGACCAGACGCTCCATGTTTCCGCGTCCAGGGACAGTCAACATATATACGTCGGAAATCCTCAAGCATCCAATTATTCGTAGGCGCTGCTCCATGCCAGTAGAACATGAGACAGTGACACTTGAGTCCTGCACTTGCCTTGTTCGATGAGGGACGCTCTCGGTCCATGGTCGCTTTCAGACACCACCCGCCCATACCCCAACCCTCGAAAACTTCTCCGTCTCACTACGGTACTCAACAGATGCCACGATTAGCCTCTACTCAAAAGCTTCCCCGCGTAGCACGGCCATTTGAGGGGAAACGCCAACGCCTCGAAGATCAGCTCAAGAGTCATGCAAACCAGCTCGATGCAAGACATTTTTGCCCTCTTTTTTACTCTCTGCCAGGCTTCGCATCCGGCCCGAACATTTGACGATTTGTTTGCAAGATCGCATCCGCGAGGCAACAAACCCAGTGATTCTGACCAAGACATGTTCATCTAGCGTCGATCACATCGTGGTATCGACAGAAATGTGGCTCTGACACCACTGCGGCCACAGTTAGGTGCCGACATCAACCCAGCCAACTGCGACCGTTGAGAATCCGAGCATCATACTCTCACAAAACGACTTGAATCGAGACCAGCACTTTCAAGGGCAGCATCCAACCATAAGCATAGTGATATTTCTCAACTTACATCAAAGGCCAACTTCATCGGACCGGGCTATGGGGCTGCTAAGATGGGCTAACCGACCCCGTTCCTTCGACCGGCTCGATGCCTATTCGTTCCCTCGTCCAGAGCTTTGCCCAGCTCTTAGTTGCCAACCAGAGGCTGACGGCGGCTTTTAATCACACCCACCAATGCGCTCTAGGTTCTGACGACCGAGACTTGAAGCGGTCAAGGCGAAGATTTGGCACGGGCACTCAGTGGAAAGATATCACCCGAAAGTCGAAAACCGTCTGACCAGTAAAATAATGGGGTACCCTCGTTGCATTTGAAAATTCTCCAGTCGATCTTTGAGGCAATTCCGGCACATACCGTTCAATCTCTCTCTCTCTGCTGGAAATGTGGACGAAACGGGACCTCACGTCACAACAGGATCGAAATGTTCAACAAGAAAGTGACAGTGGGGAGACGCAAGCTGCGGAACGAACGGCAAAAGACTTCGACCGCAGCAAAAGTATGCCAACTACGTCAGTCATGTGTCTGTCTGCCTGTCAGTCAGCCTGCATCCAGGGAAGCCGTACAGTATGTAAGTGTATGAAGAGTGCGTCAGGATCATGTCGTGCAGCACATCCTCCTTGGTATTACTAGGCACTCTGCTGGATAAGTAATCAGTTGAGTCCATCGACTACAAACACGCTCGCAGCCGTCGGCCAGGACCGAAGGATCTACATCTGAGTACGGATTCCCCTCCTATCCAACAGATGCTATGGCCGCCGCTCTCAGTCGACGAGGAGGGGGGAAGGAGGGGCAATCGGGGAAAAGTGGCCCAGTTACATCAAGTCAAGTACTTTGTATGATCCAATTGGCGGTGCCCCCCATCCATACCGACGTCTCTCCCCCCGCTGGCTGGCTGACCTTTGCGCTTTCCAGCGTCCAATGAGAAAAGCCCTTCAGCCAAGTCTCTGAATAGGTACAAGCCACGCAATTCTGCTTTTCCCTTCAGACGAAGGTCTTTTTTTCCAAGCCCATGTCCCTCCTGGTCAATCCCCCAACTTTTCGGGGGGTGGGTACGCATCACATGACTGCCCCGCGACGTCCCCCCATCAGGCACACTCACTTCTTCGCAGTGGTGGGTTGGTCGTGGTGGTCGTCATCCTCTCACCGATTCAATGCCCCTCCACCACAGACTGAGCGACGTGGCAGCGCATCCCTAGTGCCCACCCTCCCTTCTGCCCTCGAGGACGTGTGCCTAGGCAGACAGACATGTGGAGTTTGACTTCCGCGCAGCCTTGCCATGACTCTGAAGTTGCGGTTGAATCTCTATCGTCTCAGCTGATGGTTTGAGGCTCTGAACTTTTGTTTGGCATTAAGTTTTGAGGTCCCCTAAGCGTGATAGCCGCTGGTGAGGCTCCATTTAGTCTCGGTGGTAAGCTCGCCTTTAGACAGTATTGTAACTGACCATTATTCACGGCTTATTCTCTGAATTGCTGGGAGGCGTCAGTACATCCGTCTCCAGTCTTTCTCCATCTTATACTTTATTTCAAAACTATTCATTAGCAGATGTAAGGGAAATACTTCCGGATAGATATAATTCGTTTTTACCTCTCAGGAAAGTACGTACAGATGTATTGACACCATCTCACAGTTGATAGGATACCGGATGCTTGTCTGTGTGCGGAACTCCGCTGTCTCATAAATGATGTCCAGAGTTCTCTGCAACTCACATGATGGTAGCAGAGCCCATAAGTGTAATATATGTGAATAAATGACCTTGCGCCGCTTCCTACATCTCTCCTTAGAGACAGAATACCCAGTAATACTAATCTTTTTACATCACGCTTACAGCCATCTCGGAGTTCCTGGTGTACATTCTGATAAGGGCGCGAAATCCTCCGGTGGTCACGTTTCAATCTTCATGTACGTAGATATGTAACACCGAGTATTCCTGACACTTGAAAGGAGTCTTGAACACAAGGCGTAGTAGACAACTCACATTTCATCAACTCCAGTCAAGAGACAATATTATAAATGGATACAACACAGATGATGAAACATCCCAGAACTAGGAACACGTAGTATATTTCCAAAAACACGCTCGCGCGCACTTTCATGTTGCACACTCAGAAACTCTCATTCGACCATCATCACATTCCACTCACACTACATACAAAGGTCTCGGATACGTCCCAACCTCAAAACACCCTTCGTCCGTCACTCTATCCTAGAAGAAAGATGGCAGGGAACACCAATAGGCAGGAAAACTTAAGAAACAACGACAACACCTCTTCTTTCTTCCTCACTCTCAAAACATTTCATACTCATGACTTTAACAGGGAGAAGAAAATAAAAAGTCTCTCTCAATACTAGCTAAGCTAAGAAGAAAAGCCTCTCCCATCTCGCGTGGGCGGTATAACAGGGTTGTTGTGTGTGCGTGAAGCCTCCCCCTTGCTAACCTGATAAAAACTCTTCCTTGATCCGAAAACGCCCTTGAAGCCAAAGCCATGTTTGGTGAAAGTTTGCGGGACGCATTTCCCCCAACTTCTTAAACGCCTAATGATTAAACCCACTGAATAAAATTCAAGCAAGAAACAGGAAGAAAAAGTATTGATGGTAGTAATAGGCACGCGGCCTCGCTATAGTAGACGCGGCGCACGGGGTGTAGTTAAAGGATACGGTGTAAAAGTTGGGGGAATCGTGACGCGAGGTGTAGTTGCCGGGAAAATGAAAAGCAAGCAAGGGGGAGAAACAATCGGGACATGTCGTCGGGGTCTTCTCTTGTACAAATACAATTTCGTTAAAAACACAAAATTCATAACAAACGGGCGTTGCGACTCTCCGTAAGAGGGAGGGTTGTCGTTGAGAGAGCCAGAGGGCGAAAAGCACAGCTATCTCCTCCTAGCAGATGCTCGGGCACTCGTGCGCTTGCGGACTTTGTTATTGTTGGACTTGGCCTTGCTGACAATGGTGTCTGCCACTTCGTCATTGACGGTTGGCGATGCAGTGATAGTACTGTCCTCTACATCAAAGGCCAAGCCTTCGAGCTCCTGCTCATCCATGTCGGTGAGGTCCTCGCTAAGACTGCGGAGCGCCGCGCGGCCGGTCCACGTCTCCTCGACAATGGTCGTTCCCTTGGGTTTGAAGTCGGAAAAGTACCAGGGTATGCCGCCCTCAGACAATGGATCTGTGGACTCGTTGCCCAGGCTGCCGTTGGACTGCGGAGGCGTTGGAGGGGCCGGTTGCGTTGGTCTACTGGCAGGCACATAGCCCGCCTCAGGCGGCGTATCTGTGGGCTGAACGGTCGGAGCCACTGACCCTTCAATCTTGACAGCAGCCTTACCGTTGCCCTCATGCCCCGCCACCGATGAGTTCGATGAGTGGACGTCGCTTGGCTTGTCCAAAGTCGAAGTGTTGACTTCAATATTGCCTTCATCTTCTTCTCCTTCGGCATCGACGTCCATCTCGTCTGCTGCAGCGTCGGCTGTGGCGTCTGCGCCCTTGTTGGTCTCGTCGTTTGCGACAGTGATCTGCTCAGTAGCAGCATCCACCATGATAGTATCCTGGCTGGGTTCGGTGCTCTCTTCTGTGCGGGAGACGGTGATGGATGGCTGACGGAATTCGATGCTGGCTTCTAGCATACCCTCGAACTCCTTTGCCAGAGTCTCGTACGGCTTGTGCGTGATTTCGGCCTCTGTTTTGAGGGCCGTCTCAAGTTGTGGTTGGACAGCCTTGAGTATTCGTTTGCCGAGCGTTTTCCTCTGCCTCGGGTCGTGGAAGTTCTGCTTTACAGGCGAGAGAGTGCCGCCTTGGGACGGATTTTCAAGGTGCGTAGGCTCTGTGTTGATGCCGACATGAATTACTTCACACAAGTCATGGGTGAAGACGAGGGTGTTGGTATAGAATCGGCACTCCAGTTTCTCCTGGAGCTCCAAGAGGCCTTCCTTAAAAATATTTTTGTCGAGGCTTCAAGTCCAGTTAGCAGGTTAGTTCGACAAGGTGGATGATATCACTTACAATATCGCCTTCTCGACGACTGGTCCCAGCAGCTTCGCAATTGGGAAATAGCAGGTGTCCACGAACTCTTGCTCAAGCTCTGCAGCGTCGAGCTTTTCTTGCTCTCTCTGAACGACGCTTTCCGAGAGAAGCTTCAGTTCCCAGAGGTCCTTGAGCAACGCCTCGGCGAATTCGACACGCCGTGAAAGACGGGCTTTCCCAGATGGACCCATTTGCGCAAAGTTCCGCCTTGTAAGCTCCATCGATGAGAAGGTCTCCATCTGCAACTGCAGTCGCTTGAGAAGCGCCGCACCACGGCGGGCCTCGCGCTTGAGCGTCCAGTAACGACATGCTTCGCTGACGAAATCCTTGCGCTTGCGGAATGGGAACCGAGAAAGCGCCTGTTCCACAATCTCAAAGACAGCTTGGGGAATGATGGGCGCGCCTGAAGGCAGCTTCCAAATCTGCTTTCCAGGTTGCCCCTTCTTTTTGTCCCCACCAACATAGGACGCAAATTTGGCCCCCGTCATTTGACTTTCGTCGGGTGGGTGCTCTGTTAAAGCATTACGGTGATTTGCAGCCAGCGCATGAGCTGTTGCTTGGCTGTCTGCCCAGATCCGTCCCTTCATTGCCCGCTTGTAGAACTTCTTAGCTTCCCGCGCTGCTTGAGCGACGCCATTGTCTTTAGAGTAGTCGGGAGGACAGTGTTTGTCGCAGAAGGCCTTCAGTATCATGCTGTTATCAAGAACTGCAAGCGCCCCGTGACTGTTCTTCATTTTGAGGAAGAGGCGCGACCGTCGTGCGCACGTTACGTGGAACGCTTGGTAGCAAGATTTGTTACTGCACTGTATGCAGGCACCCATCTTCTGATTGCAGATATAGCAATTCAACTTCCAGCGCGTCTTGGGCACTTTCTCCACATCCATGACAGGCTCCATGAAAGTGGCATTCCCGAGGGACACCTCGGGAATCCACATTGCGCATAGAAGGTGCGCCCACTTGGATGAATTGGTCTGCTTGAAAGCGCCGTCTGTGTTGGGGCAGAAGATGCAAGTCTGTGGAGCAGTTTAGTAACGCTGTCAGGAAAGTGAAAGGGCGCGGGATGAAATCTTACCGGTACGCCTCGGCCGATGAGCTGACACTTCCTGCAAAGCCACTGGCCTTCTGGAATGAAGGGCACACCGTAACACTCCTGATGGACTGCGAGGTCGCATCCGTCACAGAAGACAATGGCATTGGTGTTTTCGCAGTCGCCGTCATCGCAAATCGCGCATTTGCTGTCTTGCTCCTCCCCAACTTGTGGTTCGCCATTGACGGCTGCGGCCGAACTAGACCGCGGCCGATGGGTCTGAGGCGGTTTAGGATTGGGCTTTGGTATCCGCTTCTCCAACGCATGCCACTCTTTTTCGATTTTCGTAATGGCAATTTCAAATACTTCGCGGGTTATTGGTTCCAGTTCGTTGCCCTTCCTTTGTTCCCTGTTGTAAACCTCTAACCACTTATCATCCTGCTCGTCCATGTCGTACTCCACACGTCCAACATTTGTGCCAGAGATTGGTTGCGCTTCGCCATCTACTTTGGCCGCTGTTTGTTCGAGGTCGTCCTCCAGATTTGGCTCCGCCGCTTTGATAAGCCTGCCCTCGGAGCGCATGTAACGATCAGTCTCCTGATATCCTACATTCATCATCGACTTGTCTACGTATCGCGCTTGACCAAAGCTCTTGCTCTCGAATTGCTCAACCTGGTCAGATCTGCGATAAGAAGGTGCCTTGAGATCCAGACGCTCCTTGGGGGTTTGATTCCGGATAGGTAGGACTTGAGGCAGTCTTGGTGTCGCTGCTGGAGCCAGGTCTCGACCCAGGAAGGAAACAGATTCACGGGGTGGCCTTGTGCGACGCTTCTGCGGCGTTTCACTTCCAGCAACGGGAAGGCTGAAGTAGGAATTTGTGGTGGGCGCTGGTGTATTGCCCGTCGAAGCCGGGTTCATTTCTCTTAAGGGCGTGTTGGATCCATTCATCGGGGTGGATGGCCGTATTCCTGCTGGTGTCCTTGGAGGCGATTTGGCGACAGGGAGAGGAATTCCATCGACTTCTTCAGAGCGGAACATCATGAATGTTGCATCGATATCGAGCTTAGGGTGGAATTCCTCCCAGCCCCGTTCCTCTCTGGGCTTGTATCCTTCGTTTTCTGCAACGGCCGCTGCGACAGCCGCGGCCGAACTGAATTCCATGTCTTCTCGATCCGCAGCGGTTCGCAATCTTGCGCTTCGTTCTCGTCTTGGGACTATCGCCGACACGCTGCGCGGCTCCCTTGGTGGTCTACGCACTGCTGCGATGGGGGTCTCAGTTCCATCATCATCGATGAAACGGCCTCCACCACCTGCACCTCCCGGAATGTATCTTCTTCTCTTAGGCGCCGGCTCGGTGTGTGGAACTGCAGAAGGGGTGGCGTGGTCGCGCGTAGATCGGCCGGAGGGAGGTGGTGCGGGGGAATCTTCGAGGTCGCGCGCACTGCGTGTGGCATTGGTTGTACCTGGAGGACGTCCACGTTTTCGGCCGGTAAAGGATCGCCTCGGTGTTGAAGGCTTTGAAGGCATGTTTCGCGATTATTAGCCCAGTATTGGGACTTCTTTCGATGGGGATTAAGAGAGGTGGTCGGAAATCACCGCGTCAGGAGGAGGTGGCGCGCGGAGTGGTGGTACGGCTGGAGGAAGGGGCGGGGCATTGGCGAAACGGTACCGCGCACGTATCTCCGGCACGCAACAAGGTTACAGTGCAGTTGCGAAGGTGATGCTGAAATGGAAAAGAGTTGAAGAGATCATCAGGAGACGAGGTGACGTCGAATTTGCGGCTCAGAGTTACGGGTGCGAAAAACAGACAACGCGTGAAGTTGAAACGCACGGACCCGGATACCATTGCTAGCCGCAGGGGGAACGCGCCATTAGTCATCCGTGGACATCTAGCAGGGCAGTCGCAGGGGTGGATTTGAATGGGGCGCGCACCGCATTGGGGCATTGGGGCCTTGGGGTTCGCTTCAGGTTTCGGGGAAGGAACAAGGGGCCTTGAGGGGCAGCCGCACCCGCATCCACCTTTTCACCTTTGCACCTGCCACTAGCATCGTTGCATCTTACTCCGTACCCGTCACCGTTGATTGGGCCGATTGCTCCTCTTCTTTATTCTCGGTATCAGATCAAAATGGAAATTCCTCGACAGGGCCAAAATCCCTTGCCAAATTAAGCGTAGCCGCTCTCTATACCAATCTCGTCTTCACTTTCAGCGAAGCATCAAGGACTGATTTCATCGCTTCCCCCCCACGGCTGACATACATGCATTTTTCCAGTTCATGACAATCTTGTTCGTCTTCCCATATTCATTTAGTACGGCAACTACGTGATGTCTGCGCAACATGTCTAAGACGAATTGAATACCTACACCCAAACACACGTTATGTCTCTCCACAAGTTCGGATGCAGCGAGTCAGTATTTCCATGTTTAAAGACAGAATCCAAAGTCAATTTGAAGACCACTACAAACCACCAGATGAGCCAGTCGACTCGACCGAAAAGCCCGTTGGCGCAACCAACTCAACTACGCCATAGCTTAGACTGCGTAGTTCGCCCAGCTTGAGATGTAATCTGTGCACAATCCTTCTTTCTCTCTGGCCCCGGTGGCGCATGTCAGCGCATCGTTCGCGAATCTCTGAGCCGCCAGACTTGCGACCGGCATTGATGTCACCGCTCCTCTACCCCGGATGCCTCTCCACATTTTCGGGCCCCTTCCCGAGGCGGCCAAGCGGCCAATGTGCTTTGCCGCCCCTCCTCGATCGGCCACCGCTGGTCCACCGCCACATGGCCTCCCTGCTTGTTTACCGTTTAGACTTGGTTGGCTTTCAGGGTCCAATCTCAGCTAGACATCTTGCGGTCAAAGATCTAGCCAGGCACGCTTTGGGAGACCCGGCTTGTGAAGTCCAGGGTTCGGCCTGCTCCAATCTGACTTACACTTGCTTCGTCCTCTTATGTTTTCTCTTCCTGTGCTCTTCGTCACTTGGAACTTTCCCATGACCTCGGCATGTTGCTTCCCCCTTCTTTCAGAAGTTTTATCACGATTTGAATCTTCGCCTGGTCCTCGGCTGGGTCATGGGATATGTGTGTCGGCCTTCCTGGTTGTCCACCTTTCCCCGTCCCCGACCGTGAGGTTCGACCTCGTTGAGAATGTGCTACCCAGCTTCGGCCTCAATGAGGTTGTGTGATTCAGCTGGCCTTCACGCATGCCATGGTGTTTTGGCTTCCATATGGGCGGTGATCAACTATGCAGTTACCATGCTTCATGCACTCATGAAATCCAGCTCTTGAATGGCTTACGGTGAGCCTGGCTTTACCACAAGATAGTTTTTTTCGAGGTGGCGCGACGTCACGATTTTACGGTAGGTGAGCGGCGCCCTCATAACCTGCTTAGCCACCACCTGCGAGTTCGCGAAAGAAACAAATGCGAGCGAAACCACATCGTCGCAAAGCTCTCAAACTACACATTGCATTATTCGCAACACCAGCCCGTCGGCTTACCCTAACACACGCACAATGTCGCTGACGTGCTACTTAGGTCCCCGGTTTCCATCTTACTCACATAATCTGTTGCTCCCAAACGCAAGATTCATTAGACGTGCATATGCGCGATCATTCGCTTCGTCAAGCTCGCGGTCGGTAAGACGGTGGGAACAATCTCCATCGGTGCGCACCTGTGGAACCCCACTAACGAGATCTTTGCCCCCTTCGCCATTTGGTTTTCGCTTTTGTGTCGCTGGCCTCGCTTACCTACTTTCTGAGCGGATAAGCTATGGCACTTTACCTTACTTCACCTTACCTTATGCAATCATGAGTCCCCTGCTACCGCTTCGCTGGTTCCTGTTACTGTCGCAACTCAGTTTGGTCCCCGGGGCATATTCTGGTTGACTCGCACTTGAAGAAATTCCGCACATCTTGCTCAGAAAGCTAGAACGGGTGCTTCTCTGCACTTTGACAGCGACAACCTAGATGAGAAAATGAAAATAGCAGAGGAGCCTCATGAACATGAACCTTGGAACTCTCATAGGCGCGACAATTCCTCTCAATGCAGAGAACGGACGCTTCGGGAAACGAGCATGAGTTGGCCCTTCCCAACCGCTATCTCTCACAATTACTCGCAGCATGAAGCATCGGCGACTGTCTGGTTCTCGACAGCCCATGCGAAACACATTCATTGGCAGCACAATTTACACTCAATAGCTCATTGCTCCATAACCATGTTCAAGTAAGTTGTTACTCTTCGGGTTAACAACCCTACACTCCTTCCGCAATAGCACTCCTGAATGGGCGGTGTGATGGGGCAACCTCATGACCAAGCAGGAACCACTCTATATGGTAGAACGACAGCTTGATGGCAAGCTTATCAGCTGCTCCCCTCATAATAGTCCGCGCAGTCACCAGGATCGCGCTTTAGGTCCGTTTCGTCGACGTCAAAGCATCTGCTTAACATTTACTTCTCGCCATGCGTAAGGCACGCAGTGACACAGTTGTAGAGAGCAAGTGTAGCCAAATTGAGACAGGGAAATCCCCTCAATGGTGGCGACGACCATTTGGGCTTATGGTGCTATTGGCAGCTTCCCACACGAGTCAACTGGCATGTCCGGGGTTCTCACTGACTGCCGACCCCGGCAAGCTTGTCGACCCGCTTTGCAACTTTGGCGGAACCCGTCTATGTCTTTCGCCTGTGACGAGATTCGCAAGTTTCCCGTTCCTTACGTTATGGCGCCTCACGATGTAATGCGTTCCTACCATTCATTCGGTGGCCAGTGTCCAAGGCTGCATCCTCGATGGACGAGCAACTCTCATACTTCGACCCCTTGATCTCAACGACATCTCTCTATTGAAATATACTCACTCATTCGGTTGAAATCGAGTCTTCAGTATCGCGAGATGAACGATATTACCCTTTTAACGGGTTGTGTTGGTAGCGATCATACTCTAACAATCTCTATTGTAGAAGTGAGCCACGCGATCAGCTCTTTCCGGCCCAAACTCAGCCTCCGCCGTCGCCATTGAAGTGTCCTGACTTTAGTGAGGTGGCACTCGGTGAGGAAAGACGCGAGGTAAGCGAAACGCCTTTGCTGATGGACATTTGGCTTAGGAAAAGCCTGTGGCTGGCGATCTTGTACTGGACTAATCATGCAAACCCCGCAGAATGCTGCCTACGAGTGTGAATTTCGCTGGCTTCATTGATGACGAAGTTCCTTGTCTCTAAAGAGGGGTCTTGTGAAAGAGACTGCGGCCATCATTCGACATAATACTAAAGTGATTGAGCCTAGCTCCACCGTTGAACAGGATCGCAAAGTCAACTTAGATCCGGCACTTGTCGTCAAGGGCCTTTTCCATGGACGATACTCTCGAGAAAACAAGGTTGCTGGGTGTTTCGTGGAGTCTAGACCTCAGCGCCGAGGGTAACAGAAGGAGATGGGACTTCTTGCCAGCTGTGGTGGATGTCCGCAGGCAGAGAGTCACTGAGTAAGAGCAGTAGCCTGACCTAGAAAGGCCAGAAAAATAAGGCGAGTGATTCAAAAGGTAAATGGGGACAATGGTAATACAAGACATCATTCTTACCAGTGCACCGCAGAGTGATGAGCTAGGTCATAGCCGCGACTCGCCAGTGGGATGTCACGAGTCTTCCTCAAGTATCTTACCACCATCTTGTGCCGACACTGGAACCGATGTGGTGGGAGTGAGAACAAGGAGATGGCTGCTCTCATATCAGTTAGCTCCTGGTTAATCTGGTGAAGTAAGCAACTTAGCTTCGGCGGCACGTTATGCTGGGATGGTTGAAGAGGGGGGCTGTATGTAACAATGGGCGTTGAAATTGGGAACAGGGTTGATGTATGGCGCCTACCCTCAGACAGATTCATTACACTTGATTGAGCGTTGCTCGCGAGTAATCGTAAGTTAAGCGATTGCAGAGATCTAGGCATGAAGCATGCTTCTCTGGCCGGGTCCAAGAAGGCAACACAAGCCCGGTGAGTCTCTACCTAAAGTCGGCTCTTAGTCAGGGTATATCTTCTAACAAGGCGTGTAATGTGATTGGAAGCCTGGGTACCGCGGGACGTTTGCCCTTGCTTCGCCGACCAGTCCTGGTTCTCGAGGCTTGAACGCCCCCCACCCCCCCTCGGGCAAGCACAAGAAAAGCTGGGGTCGTGACCTGCAGAAATGAGTGACTGAGTTACGGCGAAGATCTATGGAAGCTAGGCTTTCTCGTAAAGTGTATGCTGTGTAACAAAAGCGCTGGATAACCTAGATTGCAGTTGGAGATCCTTTGCTCGCTCTAGTTGACACTCATCGCTGTTGCATACAGGAAGGAAGCTGCAGGTTATCCGATAATAATCATCAAGGCACTTAATTATGGGATTTAAGGAAAATGGCTTTCTCTGATTCATGCAATAAAAGCTATGAGAGCAAGCCAAATGGGGTTGTGATCTTGCTAGCCCTGCCTGTAGAGTCGGTCATCCTTTCGGTGCCTTGTTTTATGTTCCAGGTCGCTGATTGGGGCAGATAGTCAGCGTTAAGATTCTGTGTATAATTGATGAGTGGGCCAGGTAAGTAGTCACCATGTCACTTACCAGGGTTTGCAGGGAGTTTGTTGTCTATACCAACTGCACTTTATGCCGTCATGTACATTCTGAGGAAGAACATTGATAATACATTGTGAGTGATAGTCAGCCTCGCTAAAGATTATGGAGCTGCTTATAGGAAGAGCTGCGTCTCTGTGTAGCCCCCTCATACTCAAGCCGCGGTCGCAAATTACATAACATTCAAGCAATCTTGTAGCTCGTTCCAAGAGACGCCTTGGAGTAGAACCTGCTAACAGAAGTATTTGTGGAATACAGTTCAGAACTATGACACCTCACTTCAGATACTTTATCCATCTTAGGGGTAGATTTGACGCCTTCTTACACAATGTGATTGCTAGGGTTCCCTTCATGACAGAAAAAGGGGTCGAGATCATGAGCATCCTCCATGGGCTCGGAGAGTACCAATAACCTTAAGTTCCTGGAAGCCATACATGACTTCCAGAAGTGACTAGTGGTAACGGCGGAGAACGCGAGCCTTAGTATTCTGACATTCTTGAAGAGACCCGAAGCATCGGCGGGGACGGTAACGTCGAAGCAGGTGATGCAAAACTATAGCACAGCCCATACAACGGCACTTGAATTCTCTAACATTGTCCGTCATCTCGCCACAGGACTAGACTTGACATAGGTGATGTTCTCTGGAAAGCTGAGAGAGATTCGTGTCACCCGGCAGTTGAACCTTCAGCCAAGAAGGCGGGACTATATATACCTCCGCAGCGCGACACGTAGTTGGTTTTCTGACAGCTCAATCCGAAATTCTGCCTCTTCGGAGAGGTTGAAGGGGGAGAAAATTTGCGAGTAAAATCCGGGCACGACCTTCCATGTCCCGGCCGCCGAGATCCCAAATGGGAACCTGAGGCTGTGGGGGCGGTGTTGTTGCCAAAAGCCGAGCACACAACCCCATAAATCGCCAGGGACTCGACGCGATGTTCGCAACATAATCGCCCATGGTCTGTTGGTCAGTCTCCTTTAACTCTCGCGTCATCAATAGTGGAGGTGATATGTAGATGAAGTAGAAGTCTCGTGAACTCGCAGATATTGGTGGCCCAACAGAATCGCCCATGGTCTGTTGGTCAGTCTCCTCTAACTCTCGCGTCATCAGTAGGGGAGGTGATATGTAATTGGTGGCCGCCGGTTTGGCCTTCAACTCCTGTATCCGTATTCATGTTGTAATACTACACAGATAGACAGCTACAGAGGCCATGAGCGGAACGAGGTAAGAATTTAATAAAGTTGTATCATGGACAGCTCCGAACTGTCAGTACACAACAGGCCAATTCTCTCACCCACAGAGTCGTCCCTCAAAATTATCATAAGGACCACTCTGAAGACTGCCCCAAGGCTACAGAAGGAGCATATCTAGTTTGGCGGAGAGAGATCACGTCCGGCTATAGCCATGGCTACTTATACCTACCTTGGCCACCGAATTGAACTGTGCCAAACATATAAGACATGGTCGCCGTATATTTCAAGGGTGCAGTTGGAGGGCGACTATGGGACAAACTGCAATCTAGTCTGGTCCACACAAATCAAGTCTAAATCAGCGTAGCTCCTAACACGATTTTCGATGCTCTGTTACGTAGAGTAATCTAGGACCGCGAATGTTGGACCGACGTCTTTCCTCATACGTTGTCTAGTCATTGTCAAGGCTCCAGGACGAGGCAGCTGGTCAACATGATACGGACATTGCTCTTGGCGACCAGCAAGGTTAGAAAGATCATTTGAAAAGCTGAATTTGGGACGGTGTATAGATGTATATGACGTTTTCAACTGTATCCCACTCCCACAACACGCTACAAGTACATTCTCTTCCCACCGCGTCGGGTGTAAGAAAAAGATCTCTATCAGTCTCCTACGTTTTGGTGATGATGAATTATTTCGTTCCCACCTCCTCCACCAACCACTCACCCCCGCGTACTTTTGGGGGCTCACCGTCTATTTCTCTCTCTCTCACGCATACATGCAACTCACAGAACAAGTCTGCCAGGCTCCTCCTCCAAAATCACCTTAACCCTCTCCAAAAACACCTTGGCGCGCTTCTCATCGCCCTGCGGCACCGTCACGGTGAACAGGTTGCTTCCGGACGACATGCCAGGGGTGTGGTGAGCAGCGACCGACTTCTTAGCGGGAACGGTCTTCTTGGCGGGCGCGGCGAGGAAGTCGATGATATCAGCCGAGGACGATCTCTTGGACGCGCGGGGCGCCAGGAGCGAAGACTCGGGCAGGGCGGAGATCTGGGGAAGGTAGTATCCGCGCGAGCCGCGGGGCGCCAGCTTGTCGAGGCCGAGGACCTGGTTGAAGAGCTCGTCGGCGGTGGCCTTGCGGGCCGAGGGGGGTAGGTCGTCGTTGGCGACCTCGGCGGCGCGGGCGACAAAGGTGGAGACGGGCATGAAGACGCCGAGGGTGGACTGGATGCGCTTCTGGGCCTCGAGGACCTTTGCGAGGGAGACGGGGAGGGCGACCTCGGAGTCGACGGGGGCGGCGGGCGCGGCGGCGGCGGCCTCGGCCTTCTTGGGTGCTGGGGCCTCCTTCTTGGGCGCGACCTTGATGTTGCTCAGGTCGAGGTGGGACATCTTGACGGCGCGGTCCATGATCTTGGAGGGGGTTTCGGCGTTGATGGTGCCGAGGTAGGCAAGGACGTCGCCCTTGAGGAGGCGGCCGTTGGGGCCTGTAGGCTCGATCTGGTTGACGGCGTCCTTGTCGAGGCCGTGGCCGTTGACGAGGGCCTGGACGGAGGGGAGGAGGGGGTATCGCTGCTCGCGGGCCTTGGAGCCGGAGGTCTTGGCCGCGCCACCCTTTTGCTGCGCGGGAGCTGACGCCGCCGCGGGGCCGTCGCTCTTGGGCGCCGACTTCTCGGCGGCGGGGGCGGGCTTCGAGGAGGAGGTGTTGTCTTCGGCGGGAACCTCGAGAGAGGAAAGGTCGTCACCGGGCTCGGCGATGACGGCGATACGGGTGCCCACCTGGACGGCCTTGGCGCCGTCGCCGGTGGTGATCTTGAACATGACGCCGTCGTCCTGGGCCTCGACGTCCATGGTGGCCTTGTCCGTCTCGATCTCCAGGAGCACGTCGCCGGCGGAGAAGGATTCACCCTCCTTGACCTTCCAGCTGGCGATGCTGCCCTCCGTCATGGTCGGGGAGAGGGCGGGCATGGAGAAGTTCTGGGCCGCGAGGCATCGTGCTGAAGTCCGGAAGCCTGTTTATGGGGAGGTCGAAGAGTGGTCAGCTCCGGTTTTGTCTCGCGGTTTCACGTCGTTGCAGAGGGACAGCAAAAGGGTACATCTGCTGACAGCTACAGCATCTCGGAGAGGGGACGGAGTGATCTACGGACCTCGAGCTGTGGACTCTGCGGGTATTCTCCGGCCAGCAACCCTCGCAGAAAGACGAGCCGCCGTCGCAAGGGAAGCCATCTTTACAATTCACGGGAACCGTTCGTCGGAGCCGGAGGTTTATTCGGGGATGCGTAGGAGCGGAGCGGGTTCGGATTGATTCAATTGAGGGATAACTTTCAAGAAAAAAACTTCCCCAAATGATTTTCCGTTGTCGGACCACACAATACGAGGGGACGCAGGCGTTTTGGTCGTTGGAGTCGGAGGACGGTGGACAAGGGGAAAAAAAGAAGAGGAAATCGCCAAAGTGGGTTGAACGAAGGCTTGTCCGTTCGGGCGTGGTCGGTGTCGGTGGTCGAAAAAGCGAACCCGGGGCGGCGCCTTGTGCTCTCTCTGCGTCTCTCTCGCGCAAGGATAAAATTGTCGAGCTCCGTTGGGTGAGCTTCCTTCTAGCGCCAGCAATCATGGACCTGTTGGGGTGGGACCGGGCTGGGCCTGGTGTGGCTTATCGCCGAATTTTGGCGGCGGACGGGGATCGCTGTCTAAGCACGGACCAAGGAAATACCGCCAATTTGTTGGTCTCATTGGCCCCTTCCTCGCCCGTTAGATCGGATGACAACCAAAAAGTACGTACTCGCTTTTTGAGCGGTTTTAAGCATCTCTGGCGCCTTATCGTTGCGCCGCTCTCCGACCGTACCTCACCTCACCTACCTTGCAGCACGGGCAGGCATGGACCACCAAAAAAAAAAAAAAAAAAAGTCCCCTGCTGCAGATTGGACGTCGCATTTCGATAGTGGAGACACCTTCCACCCCTGTCATCAAGATGTCTGATGCTCCATAGAAACTTTTCTGGATAGCTTCAATTTCCACCACGTACGATAACCCGCGACAGCTTGACGCATTCCTGCCGTGATCAATTGAGCCACGGCCACTGCGGCGCAGACCCCCAAAACTTCACCGTTCTTTTTTCCTGTATAATTGGCTTCATTTCATAGGTCTTCTGTCACTACTACCACCACCAGTCATCCGCAACCATGGCAGCCTCCTCGAGAGGCATGAGCCTCTGCCTCCTCCTCGCCTCCCGACCCGGGCCCCTCTGCGCGACGACAACGGCAACGACACAGCCCCTCCTCTCCCGCCGACTCTTCAGCTCCCTGACCGCCCTCCGATACGCCGCAAAACCCTCGCGCACGACAACGATCCCAAACAACCTCACCCGCAGCGCAGTCTCCAAACCTCCTCCGAAATCCCCCCTCCCATCAACACCCCCAAAGACGACAACAACACCAGCACCAGGCACCGGCGCCGGCGCCACCGCAGGCTCAGCCTACGCCCTCGCAACAACCCTCGCCCAACGTCCCCAACCAACAGTCCTCTACGAAGCCGCCTCCCACCTCTGGATGAAGGTCTCAGCCTGGTCCGCCGCCACAATGTTCTACTCCTACGCCGGCATAAACTACTACTTCACCCTCCTCGACCCCCCGCCCGACCTCGCCGCCTGGGTCCCGCACGCCTTCGCCCTCATCTGCGTCGCCACCGCCGGCTTCGGCTCCTACTTCCTCTTCAACGCCCGCAACATCGTCAAGATCATCCGCGCCGTGCCGACGGCTTCCCTTCTCAAGTCCTCCGCGGGCGAAAAGTCCGCCGCCAGTGTGCTGCCCCTAGGCGTGACCAGCGCGAAAACAACGCCCGTCGTGCTCGAAATCACATGCGAGCGCATCCTCCCCGGAACCCCCAAAAAGTTCCTCCTCGCGCCGGACCAGGTCGCCATCCCGACCCGGATCTACTCGCCCCTCGTAACGCCCACGCCCGCCATGGAGAGGGCCGCCGCGCGGCAGAGGCAGGTGCAGGCGAGAGCCGACTGGGAGTACGACAAGGGACACCTCATGACGACGCCGTTCCGGCACGCGAGTAAAGGCTTCAAGGCGGCGTGGTACGGCGTCCGGAGGGCCATCACCAAAGAAGGGTTCCTGAGGATGGAGGCGGGCGGGGAGAAGCTCAAGCTGGACGTCTCTACGGGCTGGGCGCTGGATGATGGACGGGCTATTGATCGTCTTGTCAAGATTGGAGCGTGAGATGTAGGCATGTGTATGTGATTGATGGGTTTGTGGATGATGTGAGAATTGGCACTTGCCCTGAGAGGGAGGTTAGCTGTTCTACTATCCTTGAACAAGGTTGTACAATACTGTATCATGATTGAATCCCAGTGTAGACGAGTTTACAGCAGGGGATGATGTTCAAAATATCGGAAAGAGACGTCTCCATGAACAAGATAGCTGAGAGAAAACTAGAGAGAACTGATATCTCAAACATTCACAGTAGACACTGGGCCAGTGTCGCGCGGTCACTTACCTTTGACATCCAGAGTCCCTTTCATCCACGACTCCCTTTCACCCACGACTCCAGAGCCAGACGATCTACATACAACACAAACCTCACTGTGCCATGCTCTGAGCGCAGACGCGATGTATCACTCACCAAGACCTAGCCAGAACCGAAGAGGAGAACCAGCCTGCCCCGAGACGGTAGACGTCAAGGCTGCCGAGTGCCAGTATTCCCCTCCAAAGCCACTTCGCAACGTGAATGTCACCAACCTCAAGTCTGGAAATCTCTTCAAATCACACGGAAAGCAGAGACGCGCTGTTGCCGCATATTGCTGGCGAACTCCGCCAAACGTACCCATCCACAGCATCCTCTTCGTGGTGCAGGCGTAAGAAATCGTCGATAACATCGTCGATCCTCCATAGCTACGCTGCCCGTCTCAGTCGGACCCAGACCGACAGAACTTAAGCAGCCCTACCGAGCTCCCCTCTCGGAACCCGCAAAACGCATCTTGATCCAACAAAAGTCGTGGGCCTGACATGGCAAGAAACACAACTGCCTTGGTTCCAGCAAGGCGTACGTGCATCCCGAGGGAGCCAAGTCAACATCTTCACCAGACCGCCCCTTACAGCCTTACCGTTACCCCTCCATGTGCCTCAGAGCGCCGCTTCACTTGGAGAAAGAACAAGTGCTTTCTGATATTCACCGCGTACAGAACGGGAGGGGCAGGAGGGCCATGGGCACAGATCGGCCTAGTGCCCCTGATCGGCCCTCTCTGGTGTCCCTGATGATCGGACATACTAGGACGACCTAATTCTATGTTTGGCAACCGAGTGTGTCTCGCCTTGTCCTTGTCCTGTATGGCGTGCATCGGAAGATGAGAAAGTAGTGTGTACACACGGTCTCTCGACACCCCCAACCTCGCGGAGTCGACTCCGACCCAACCGCCGCGGCGGGCATTTTCCCTGATGCCCATCGTTCCGGGTCCAGAAGGTGAATGGTATTTGTGGGAATTCGGAAGCTGGAAGCAGTCGAGAGATTCTTGGGGCGAGATACGTGGACTGTGGACTGTGCCAGCGGCTAGCGCATGTCGAAAAGCAGGATGCCACGGTAGGTGCAGATCGAGGAAACGCCTAGGGAATCGCATCACGAATCACCGACAGCGTGGTTGTTTGGCGGTGGTGGCTGGGGTGAAGCCTGTGTAAGTGCTGTCCGTGTAAGTGGCCGGCCGTTGCATAGAAGTCCGACGAAGGAAAAACAAAACTTCCAGAAAAAAAGTTGGCTGGCAAGGCTGGTGCTGGCTTAGCTGGCGGCTACAAAGTCCCACTTGGCAAGGTGGAATAGTGTATTAATCGGCGGCGGGCGATCTATGGCGGTCAGTCAGCCTCAGAGTTTACGGGGGCGAAACGAGGCTATCCCTGCCTGCCAGAAGCCACGTCGAACCTTCAACGGCTGATCAACAGACATTTTCCAAATGGCGTAGTGAGGGGCAACTGAAGAATGCAAGATCCTCCCTCTGCCCCTCCGACGAGCTGCTGAGCATTCGTCCTGTCCCAGAGAAGGACCTGTCGATCGCCTCGTCTTTGGAGTGAGGGGGAGTTGCAGCAGGCGGGGTACAGACCTCGGGTGAGGCCATTCCCAGGAACCAGTAGAGAGAGGTAACAAAGTGGTGAGGTAGAGAACACACTGCCGGGCGCTTGCTGAGCGGTGTGATGGTAAGCGGCCTTCTCACCGTGCGGGATTGGTTACAACGAATGGAATTCGACATCTGCCTCCGCTGCCGGACGGAGGATTGGAGAAGCGTAGATGTCGCGGGCTCTGGTGGTTCGGTCTGGCGGCCACCTCACGCTCAGGAATTATCCTTCGTTCCACCCCGCCTTTCAAACGATGCCGTCATCATCCCTCGAGTCGGTCGTCCAACAATGCGTGATGTTGGCTGATGGGGGTCCTAGTCTCCACCGAACTGAGTGGAACGACTCATGCCCCATATCACTCTGATTGCTGGTATCGCTATATCGCATCGCACAGCGTAGCGGGACCTACGCCGGCGGCAGACCGAACTCGGGCAATGGCTGGCCGTTGTAAATAGGGGGAACATGCAGCAGGACTCGATCGCATTCCCCACCGGCTGAGATGGCGGCTCCGGACGCCGGCATGAAGGCCACCGAGTGCCTGATTCCGGGCGCCTGCATGCAGTGAGCGTGTGCTCTCTGCCCGTTCAAAGAACGAGAAGCACGAGGGCAGGTTGTCTGCGACTATTCCATTATTCAAAGAGAATGAGAAAATTTTAGGTGGGTTGCACGACAGTTCGAGGCAACACTGAAGTCGTACAAAAAGTACGGATGGCATTTGCAGTGTGGGAAATTGCAAAGACTCAGTGGAGGAGTCCTCGAGCAGCTGCCCCAAGTCTGAATACCAGGTATGTCCCGAAGTTGACTGGCGCGTGTCTGCGGGTAAGCGTAGGGAACGTGTCAAGCATGAAGCGATGGATGAGGTTTCCCCGCGATCCTCCATCACAGCATGACGCCCGTCATGGCTGGTGGTTGTAGAGGCGTCAGATCATCAGCTCATGATGGTTCGAAGGCAATTCATACGATGCCCGCAAAAAAAGAAATAAAAAGAAAAATGCCCGTGGCTGCAAATTGGGTCTTCGACTACCTGGTTGTTGACGTGCGAGAGCGGAGGCCGTAGCAGAGGATAGCGCGAGAGACAAGGTCCGGGGTTTGACAGGAGCCTACCAGGTATTAGTGTACTCATCGTGTTAGTGTAGTGTAATTATTATGTGGTGCAGACTCCCGAAATGAGCATACCTATACCTTAGTGTGGGGGGAAAGGGAATGAGCGGCTTTCCGATAGATAGCATTCGACAGTAGCTCCGTTTAGATACTCAGTAAACACTGCGGACTTATTGGATAAGAAAGCTGAAAGTGTGGCATCTCGAATGGAGCTGCTGCGGTGTGCTGCCGGCAGTGCAAAGACAAGAGAAACGGAGCCTCTAAACCTCCATCACACCTCAGCCGAGTAAAGGTTAAAGATGGTGTATCTTGGTACATGCGCCGACGAGTGTCTGCATGAGGCAAGGCCTTGTATCTGTACGGGAGCTGGTGGTATGGGATGGATTGAGGCTTCACAATGGACCCCGTTCAACAGGGACTCAAGAGGCTCCGCCGAGTTTCGCTTATGCCGGCCGCCATGAGATCAGATGGAAGTTGAACTGGGAACCTGCCAAAGAAGGTAGGCGACGCTTGAGGGCGTCTATTTGCGGTCCAAGGACAGGGAGAGAGAGCGGGAGAATGAGGATGCGTACTCGGGTTGCGTGGTGCAGGCGGGAATGGCGTTTGGTTGGCCGGAGCCAACGGTCATCGCCAATTCCCCACGAGATCGAGGGGCAGCTCCAGGGGTCCGAATCAATGCCCCTCCTTTTCTTGAACCAGACCGCAGCTGCGCGCAGAGATAGGTAGAGACACAGAACAGCCCGTGATTGTGTGTACACTCGACCGTCGCACTGCTCGTCATGAGCCGCCAACAGCACCAGCACAGACCATCACAACCCTCATGTACACTAAGTCAGGGATGAAGTCAAGGTTGAAGTCGACAGTCGAGAAGTCAACTGGTTCGAGCAATCCCAGCTTCCTGCTCTAATACGTACTGGGAATAGCGTCATTCCTTCTCTGCCTTCCTAGTGGGACAAGGCCCGTTGACCACCCCGGTCGTTCTCCAGTCGTGCGTCTCGGAGAATCCACTCTTTGCAGTCTTTCTCGCATAAAACAAAAAAAGGTGTGCGAGCCTGCAGGAAAAAGAGAATTTTCGCGACGGAGCGGTGAGCGAGCAATCGGCGTATCGCCTCCCTGTAGCCTCTCTTGCCCCCCTGATGAGACGACAAATGTGCATTCCTCGCCTCCCAGAAGCGGCTGCATCTTCAAATCATGTGCCTCAACTCTACTGTCACGTATTAGCGGTTGAGTTCCAGCTCTCGGCGAGCTCGGTAAGGACCGTAAGGTAGACGGCGCATTCTTGGAGGATCTTCAGGGTTCAAGCAGCCTTGTTTTTTGCACCCTAGATCTGAATCGAACCTTGCTGCGAGAGTAGCGCCATTGTTCATACCCGTATCCGTAGTACGGTAATAGCGGAATTCCCATCTTTTGCATCTGGAAGACGAGAACAGAAGTGAGGGTCCGGATCCGTGGTCACCAATCTTGGCGTACAAACAAACGTCAGACTTCAGGTGAAGTCGTGGATCCTGCTGCAGCTTATACAAATGAGCTTTGCTAGTGTAAATAGCAAAGTTGCAGTAGTGCTGTGGCTGGCGTGAACGACACCTCAGGCGTAGTGTAGCTGTGTGATGCTATGCTCCTCCGCCCATCCGTCCAGAGTTTCCTGGCGAAAGGCAGGCCACTGCTTCCCGGCTTGTATGAAGAACCAGTCAACAACCAAGGCAAGCCAGTCTTCCCTAGCTGAGTAGCGGGGGGTTTGGTTCGTCGGGATCCCCTTTGCAATCGACACGTCAAGTTTCCAAGCCGCAAGATTCGGTCACTTATGGAACCTCTTCGGTAGCCCAGGTCCGGTGAGATCGACGGCTGTTCGGCAGTCCACCGCTCAACGGTGAGTATCAAAAGAACGACTCACGGTGTCAAACGTGAATCGCACAGCTGGACGATCTCTCTTGGCTGGCGAGTCAGCGGTCCTCCCGCCCCCTAGTCCCCAGATTCACAGACTGTCCAGCCTCGCATGTCCGGCCCATCATTGGTGGGCGGCTCCGTTGCACCATGGATGGGCTCACATGCTCGCAGCGGCGCCGCTCATCCCTAGTCCATTAGCGACGCTCCCTTGGCATCGGAACCTGTCCAAACTTCCAAGGCATCTGCGAATTCGGTGGTTGGCCGTCGTGGTTCATTCTTCTCGGCTCGGACTCAACGACATAGTATCACGGCTTCGTCCACGATCAAAGGCGATTTCTCCCCGTCTCCAGGCCTAGACTCTCGGATAAGACCACGCACCCCGATTAGGATGCAGAGGAAAACATCTGAATGTCAAATGATTTTGACGCCTGCAGGTCAAAAGTCGCGAACCTCGTAGGCGGCCTGGTTCGGTCTGGCCCATGTTTCACTGATATGGACATACCAACGTCGAATGAGGAAACAGCATCTGCCCTCCATCATGTCTTTTAGGCCCGAGGTGGTGCTGTAGTGTAGTCTGGTAGTGCACCACCTGCATCCTCCCACCGCCCTTCTCAGTGCAGCGAACCACACCAAACAAGAGCCATCCCTGAGACCGAGCCTCAAGTGCCTGATGATCGCTTCTCTCGTGCCTGGGTCAGCGCAGACGCCAGAATATCAGTAGTCGTCTGAGATATGGGACTGACTCGCTTTACAGCGATTGCGCCGCCTTTCCGGCCTCGCCCTTACTCCGGTACCAGGTCTCAGATATCTAAGACCGCCAGACGAACCGCCGTTCGTGGCGGCAGGAAAAGGGTTGGGTAATGAGCTTCAACGACTAGCTATCAGTGCGGGTGGCTCGGAGGACGTCGCGGCACCGTCCAGCCACGCCCACATGATGAATGTTCTGGTTCATTACCACTCCCGCGCGGGGCACATGGCACTGAGGCTGACCCCGCCAGACGAAGACACCTGAGAATGCGACGGGGCAAAGGTTCAATGTGATCAAAAAAGGTGTTCAGCGTTGCAACCAATACGCGAGACACGGAAGAACAGTCGCATTGTCCATCCTTTGCCCGTTCCTCGTTTGCCTCATTCTAGGACATTCCGATGAACAGCGGAGAAGCGGTGAAGAGCAGCAGCGACATGAAGGCGCAAAGAAATGTGTTGCAAAGTGTGAGAGATTCGTCGCGCATGGTGGTAGTCTACGGAGTGAAAATGAGGGGCTGCGCGGCATCGCATCGAGCGAGTGGTAGGGCAGGGGAAGCGGACAGATTGGCGATTGGCGGTTGGAGGTAGGCGAGGTTCAATGGGTACTCCTCGCCATCAATCCACCCATTGTACGTGCAGGAAGAGCAAGTTGAGGGTGTAGTGTAGTGTGTATCCCGCGTACACCAAAGTTGGCATGTATCGTCTACCTCTGAGCGACAGATGTAGCGTGCACACACACTTCCGCCGCTGCAAGCACCCGCGCAAGAGGGTCGGCCGTGCACTCCGCCGGCTGACCGACATTGTTGCGACGTTCCCGGTCGTGAAAGTCTCAGACGGTATCCGTAGCGCCGCCGTACGATTCCTCCGTTGAGGCTGTCGTGAATCTGAATGGAAAAATGCAGCTATTCGCAAAATGAGGCTGCTTGACGATGGAGTCCCCGTTCCTGAATCCACAATGATGAATGCCGAGCGGGTGCGGTTATGTAACAGCGCGTCAGCATCCCAGCTCATGGGAGAGAGTCTAGAGAGCGCGCATAGGTAGCGACCAACTGTCGACCTGCGACGTGAAAGAGCATGCGTCATGACAGAGTTGAAGCATAGCATCGGGGCCGTGGACGTGGGACGATGGAAAAGAGGCCCGGCGTATGGAGTGAAAGAGAGGGCCCGGAGACGACATGGGTTGTTGGTTGGTAGAGTGGACGATGTGGTGCTGCACGTCGGTGCACGATGATATTTCACGCGCGTCTGCCACGATGTAAATGTCCCACGGGGACTGCGGGCGTGGTCTCCTCTGGCCGGTTTACCCTCTCTGTCTTGCCCGCGCCTGCGCATTGGACGGAGGGGAACAGCATGATGGTGGTGAAGATTGAGCCAGGTGTGTCCCCGAAGCGGAATAGACCGCTGGCACCGGGGGATGCCATCCACAATTCGGCGTCTTCCCTTTTACACTAGATTGGTAGCCAGGCGGAAGAAAAGAAGGGTGAAGTGGGGGTGAGGTTGTGAAGAATGGCCGTGGGAGGGATCGGCTGGTGGAGGGTCGTTGGCCGTCTGCAGGGATGAAGGGCGGAGGGTCAGAGGCAGGATGACATGCCCTCGCATCGACGACGAGGTCTGTTGCGAAGTTGCGCTGTGGTGCTTTCGCTGCGTTCCCAATCAGGTGGCATCGCGGTCCCTCGAGCTGGTGGAGTTATGACATAATTGCTGCTCCGTTTCCGCCCAGGATGCAGCTACAAACCTTGCTCGGATTGGCTCCGTGTCGGCGGAACGCGTTCTTTGACAACTCGGGCCCCATCTTCATC